GGTTCCTGAAGTCCAAAAAACCCCTCTGGATCCGCCACTGCACTGGACGTGATGTATTTGTTATTTGAATTTGTCTTAGTCTACAGCACCCCTTCACCTAGATTTCCACACCTTGACACGTTACGTAAGAGCCCCGGATCGGAAAAACTACGTTATACGGTTCAGGTACATGTACAACGTGGCTATGTTTTCCTGTATATCACTTATATTTTTTTCATTATGTACATTACATACCTAAGTTATCACACGTACGTGTCATAAACCAGAAAGTGAGCAGCATGATGGGGCGGTACACACAACACATATTACGAACTACGGCATTTATTTCTGTAGCCTTCTATATTTTATTTAAACGATAAACTGCATTCATAAACTATTGTATGGGTTATTATTTAGATGGAAGTTTTATGTTCCATGACAAACTTGACTGATATGTCAACGCCGAGGGATGATATTCCAGAGAAAAGAGGACGATTATTTTAAAATATGTATCTCTTTAGTATCACTTTTATTGAAGAACACGCATGCCTCATACTACTAGTACAATGATAATACTTACAACAGAAAAGCTATGCAATCTAATTTGTATGAGTTATCGTTCTTTGATCATAACATGTGACAACAAGCTCAGACGCCTCTACAAAATAAAAAGCTAGCTTATCTAATAAGTGATGCTCCATCAACTGATTACATACATGCATCACTAAATGAAAACACCGAATATGTTATGTATTTGTGTTCCTTAATAAATATATATCCCATTTAATTATTTATGCATTTTGTATATACATACAGTACCAAAGATCTGTGCCTATGGAATTGTATTCAATGCAATGATAATACATGTATATATATGGAGGCACGGTAGTCTAGTGGTAGGACGCCGGGCTCCGAAGGGTTGCGGGTTCGAGTCACGGCACGGCTATGTGTTGTATCTTTGAGCAAGATACTTTACTCCGGTCTACTCAGCTGTAAATGAGTACGTGGTTGGGCAGTGCTAGAATTGTTGAATGCTAGCTGTTAGCGCCAAAATGGCAGCTCCAGCTGTATGTTCACCAGGGAGTTGAGAAAGATATTGTCTGGTTGCAAAGGCCCTATAGCCACGGATAATAATTTGTGAACCGCTTTGAGACGACGTTCGAACTAGGTTGTGATAAAGCGGTATATAAGAACCTCGAATTATTATTATTAAAATATGCAATATCCGTGCGTCATGGAATATTAGATATGCAAGTCTATGATATAATGTATTTAATGTATGTTTACAATGTATATATAGTACTCATCGAAATGTAATATACATATTCCTTAATGTAGCATATGATACAGGCTATATGTAACCTTTCAATCAAGCCCATTAATTTTGTTTATTTACTGTATGTATAGTCTATATATACTATAAAACATATTGTTTTCAAATTGTGAACAATAGTAATGCATCATTTTTAAATATATTCAAATATATTGGAGATATTATCATTACTTACAACCCGACGTTTGAAGCTGATGACATAGTATTGTATCCTGTTTACAACAATGGGATAGATATGATATCGTAAATACGTCACGTATACAGTAGCGAACTATTTTATATGCTTTCTTTTTGCTTCATCAATCCATCTACATAATCATTAGTTTTAAACTTGTGGTACAGTATACAGAATCAAATAGGTACTCACAGACCAGTTGATATAATAATATCTTGAAGCGGCAATATTCAGCAAACGAGTTGACGTTTTGTTAAATCATCATTCGTTAGTTGTTTGTATTGTCACCAATTACAATTTCGCTCGTCAAAGCTAGTTTGGTATCATGAGTTTTGGTGAATCTACAACGGTCCTTAAGTATTAACCACAATTATACATTATATAAAACATACATAAGAGTATGTTAATCTCGGATAAATCCCTGGGAATTATTATGAAAAAAGTGGACGAGTTGTCGAAACCTTGGAACTTACAATAACACCATAAAATATAGAGATGCAGAAAGGAAATGAGCAGAATCTTAGACTAGCGAAAACAATTGCAGTTAAGGATGTACTCCTCTGAGGTCTCAGTCACGTTCAAGTCTCGTTTTGATCTGGTGTAATGGGTTTTTGTAATATTTAACAAATTATGATAGGTATAATAGCAAACACACATCTGAAAAACATGTAAAAAAAACTAGATGTCTGTTGTGCGTAGAACATTTTTTACAAGAATTTTTAAAAAATGACCAATTTGGCGGCCATTTTGAAAAAGTGTTTTTATGAGAATTTCTTGCGCTTCACAAAGGGACAAAATTCTCCTTTTTTGACACTAGATTGATCACTTAAATTGTCATTGTGTCACCATTTTTAATTGTAGCAGGTTCAATTTTGCTGTACAACTTTATAATGTTCAATATGATTAAAATAATATGCAAAAAAGTGGAATGTTATATATTATTGATATTCTGTTTTACATATTAGGGTAACTGAAGCACTTTTGATTTTTGACCCCGAAAAAGGGGAAAAATAACAGAAATGATAATGGGACAAAAAAAGAAGCACACTGACCCCCCATTTTTGTGGCTGTTTTAGAAAGAGAAACACATTTTCTTTTGATTCATTGAATACTAAAAAAAGTTTATTACAGGATTTTTTTATATCAAGCGTTTAATCGGCAAAATGGTGAAAAATGTGCATTTTTTCATTAAGAAATAAGGGGTAGGGGTTTTACATTTTCCTTCCATAGTTTCAAAGAAAATATTATTTGTATCAATTCTACAAACATTCATACATATCTGATAACACACTTGGAAGAAATTGTATGAATTTGTTCTGCAAATGGTCAAAACCCGAAAATTCACCTAAAATCACATATTGTGTTAAATTTGTATCTTTGACCGATTATAGCACAAAAACTAATACACCGACATATCTTTTTTTTTTCATTTTCTACTTTGCCATTATTTCCTTTTTCCAAAAATTAATATAAGAAAAAAAAATTAATACAGGAATTTTTTGACTTCTCAGAGGTGTACATCCTTAAATACATTGTATGTTGAGACGCATTCGGGTTCTATGATAAGCATGCATTCACTTATGAATGCATTTTGCATACAAATATATTAATACTGCAAATATATAACTGGAGTCATACATCTAATAACAAGATAATGAAAATATAAATGATTACAAAAAATAGTATTGTCGCCAATGAAAAGTCGTATACAAATTAGCTTCCTTTGTTCATAACCTTAGGGCTATCCACAATCTCATTTATCAGAATCACTTTACAATGTTTAATGTGTTCTTTGTTTTCCAAAAACGTTGACTTTAATTCTTTCCCAGAACCCAAGTGACGACATGTTGTTGTCAACGTCATAACCCGACGCGTGTTTTCTAGATATGGGTTTCCAATAGGGTGACGGTCGGAATGACGCTTTGAATTTCTGAAATGAAAAAACAACAAAACATTAATAACACATGCACACTCCCAAAATCAAAGAAAAAACTACTCGTAATTATTTCATCATACCGATGCGTGCTAGTCTGGAATCGATGTCTAAAAATAATACAGATTTGATCGCATGGTGTATAGAAATGATATAGATTGAACTAGTATTTAACAAGAAAAATATATTGGTAGGATGCATTAATAGACCTGAATCAACTGCATACTATTAGGATAAACCAGACCATGTTTAACATCATAATAACTTGAGATATACATGTAAAATATGTTAAATATACCTCCAACCACCATTTTAATACACTAATAGCAAAATATAAATTGACCGATCTAATTAATAAACCTACCAGGAGAACACAACTAAGGTCACTGCTATTGATATTTTATTCACTAATAATATTAACCTTATAAAACATCAAACAGTGAATACACCAATATGAAGTGATCACCATGTTATTCAATTTGCATATTTAAATTCTGTATTCAAGCAGAAAACTTAAAATAAAACTATATTATACTATGACGATACAGAGTTTTGATAAAATCAATAGAGCTTTAAATGTACTGGGAAAAAAATCTTAACTCGAACGAACCTTATAAAAGTTTTACAGATGATATCAATAACCAAATAGAAGAATGCATACCATCTTAAACTATAACCATTTTTCCTCATGATAACCTTGGATGAGGAATGATATAAGGCAAAATATTAGACAGAGAAACAGATGACATAAAAAGCGGTAAATAAAAATACCTCAAATTACTTGAGGAAAATTCAGATAGGCTAGAAACGTAGCAGTCAACCTTGTTAGAGAATCTAAAAGATTTTTTTTTATGAAAAATTGCATCAATTACTTAGAAATCAATCAATACCTTCTAATGAATAGTTGAAAATAGCTAGATCTGTCATGAACTCAAACAATGTATCAAATTACCTTCATCCTCTCTCTGGAAATTAAAACTTAATACATCCTCCATTTGAAAAGGCAGGATGTCTAAATAACTACTTTCGCTTAATATCAACTTCCTTTAGAAATATCGGAACCCCTATTTCGCAAGAAAACACCTTTCTCCTCAGCCTAGACAATATAATTATATCTGAACAACACATTAAAGAACAATTGTTTTTTACTTAATGATAAAAAACTCCTGGTCCAGATGACTTGATACCCCAGATAATAAAGAAATAAGCACCTTCTCATGTATATCCTATAACTATACTTTGTTATAAGACAATTGAAACTGGAAGTATGCCCCTTTCTTTGAAAACAACTAATATCAATTATAAATACAACGGTAAGGGTGCTCAAAATTATGTCGCTTACTATAAGTCAATATCTTTAGCATCATATTTTAACAGAATCATAGAAAAACAATTATTTTTTAAATATATGTTGTATTATATGAAAGAATGTGGTGTAAGAAACACCAGTCAGACTTCTTACCAAAAGACTCAACAGTTTGATAGAGTTGGGCAGAAGGGCTTTTGCTTTAAATTAGAACCATAAATTATGGTAGAAAAGGTAAAATACTGCAACGGTTAAGAAAAGAAAAAAAAATCTGATACTAAGAAAAAAAAAAAGTATCAACAGAGATTTTTTCAACTTAAAGCGTTGCAAAGCCGTTTCGTTTGTTCTTCTTTAATATAAATGATATAATAATGAGTACCAAGTAAAACAAACCATTTTGTTAACTAGGTTCTATTAATACATGGGCAATTAAATGAGAAAACAAATTTAATTCGCTAAAAAATTAGTAAGTGAAATTTTCTCAAGGTCAAGAATTCCACAGGAGTGGATGTGTCACCTGCATAGGCAACTCTAATGAGATTATGTGAATAAAGCCATTAACGGTGTTAAGTGAGAAAAGTGTTTCGGCTTGAACACCAGCAATCTCATGGAGTAACAATCAGTGTGAAGTTTTGAGGTTGATGGGCCAAAAGAAAATGGACTTATCCCAAGGAAACAGTTTTTTCTATTTATAGTAAAGGCAACATTGACATTTGACCTTCTGACATGAAAAGCACCCCCAAGCAAGCACTATTGGTAAGAAAGCACTGTATGGAAATCTTAGTTCGATCAACCCAAAGAACATCAAGCTATCGCACGGAAACCGTTTTTCTATTCATAGTAATGGTGACCTTGACCTTTGACCTTCGGACCAGAAAGGCAATCCCAAGCAAGCACTATTGGTAAGGAAGCACTGTTTGAGATCGATCAACATAAAGAAAGTCAAGTTATCGTACGGAAACCATGTTTCGGACGACGCAACCGACGACGACGACGACGACGACGACGACGACGACAAAGTAATACCTATATGTCGCCTTGCGTTGCAGGCGACACAAAAAATGGAACCTAATCATCTATATATATTTTATTTGGTACACTTAACTATTAAGCGTACTCATCAACAGTATTTGAATTTGGAGATGCTGTTTGGGACAACTGTAGTAAAAAAATAAGATATTCTAGAACCAATTCATCTAGATGCATTTCTGGACTCGAATCATTTTGTTATACGGGAGAAAACATAAACTTTTACTTATGTTCATACTGTAAATAATAATCAATGACCTAAATTCGTAGAAGATATCACTGAACCCTACCTTTACTATAATACAAAAGTTAGATATCCACTAATTCCCTAAAATCTTTTGTATATAACTGAAAAATATTTACACTGTTTCTTTCCCTTAGCATGTAGAGAACTTAATCTTTACTCTGCCCATACTTTACATGCTACTTCTTTGCAAGAATTGATTTTTTTTATCTGATAATGTTTATAACACGAACGAAATTACCATCACATTTAGATGCTATTGGCCAAGAAAAATCCATATTATGGTTTATGAGCTTTAAAAGCATGGTCGCAAACTAAATAGTGACTTGTATAAGGATCATCTGAATGACACAGCAACATGTGGATGTGGACATGGAAATGAATATCATTTTATATCGGACTGCCCACTCTGCAATAACATTAGGATGGAATTAGTACAAAACATTTCTCACTTTGGTTTAACTGATAACCATGTTTATTATCATATAAATGCTCTGTTAAATGGATGCAAAATACGCAACACTGATATCAACATAACTTTTTTACAAATTATTTCTGACTATATTCGTAAGAATAATAGATTTTAATATTTAATCTCACTCACAACCAAACTTTACATTGTTGGTGATGTTAATACTGGTCTATATTTATCTATCTATCTTCACAACATCTCTTGTATTCTGACTGGACTGGATGGAAATAATAATGATTTATCCTAAATCCTGTTTTACTTAGTTTACAGTTACGTGATCATTCTAAAGTGATTAAATGTTTAAGAGAATCAACTCCATTAAAAAGATAAAATCAACTACATTTTACCCTATGCATCCATATCATATTCTGAAATTTTACAAAATATGTATTTCTTTGTAATTTATCCTATATATCCAGTAAGTGAAAGGCTGATGTGTTAATACATAATTTCTTTCGTATTTCGTGGATTGTATGTAGGTAGGATTATCAACAAATAAACATAATACTTTTTTTTTCGGTATTAAGATTTGCTAAAAATTAGGCATATTTTTCAAACTAAATTCTTCTCTACAACTGTAATCATTCAGATGAAAGTCTTTACCGAATTCCGCATAATTTGTGTGCATATATACATATAAAAGTTAAGATATTTCTTTGAATATGATTCTTCACAAGAGTCTTATCCCCGGAATGAAAATACACGATAACAATAATATTACGGGAATGAGAACTTACATTGATACATAGACTGGAAATAATATTACCTTTTTACTTACCGGCTTCGTTAAGTATGTACCAGTTTTATTGATTGTTATATCATACGGTTTGATATTTACCTACATAAACTGTTAACTTATATCGCTCGCTCAAGGGAAATGGTAAAATACCTGGACTTTGTGAGTCAGCCTTGGCTGGAATTCACCTTTTGTAATTACTTTTAGAATTCATAACCCAACAATACTGTAAAAAATAATCGTTTTGATTTACCAATTTACAATATGATCCCATGGTTTATACAATATTGTTTATAAACGAATACAAACTAAAATTCCGTGGTATATATTTTTGCCTTTGATGTATAATCCATCGACATGAGTACCCATTGATATTATCACTATATATATATATATACACACATTATTTGAATTTCAAAAGTGAATGTACCTTGAAAAAAGAGTCCCCGGGGGTATTCAGCACAGTCCCGACCCCCACCACGATAACGGGTAGGAGTGGCATTATCCCGACACACCAGCCCAGCAGGTTTACGTAGGACGGGTACACATAATCCCCGTAAGTCGGAGGCTTGTACAATATGAATGTGGAGACAAACAAAATCTGAAAGTAAAAGAAAATATTTTCTACATCTTCACGTCCTAAGCTGGAGTAACCATCTCATTACATGACCAAAATAGAAAAACTTTCCTTGTAATTACATTGTTCATTGAATTAAAGTAACAGCCTAAAATCTACGTTAGCCTCGGATAAGTCCGCCCGCATCTACTCCTGGTGATCTCACACAATTGTGACTCCTTCGAAGAGAAAAAGTATAAATCCGTCCACATCTATTGATGTCGGAGTCATGGAAACTTGTCTCGATTTATGGTTTGATTATGGAAAACAACTGCAGATAATGAGAACATTAGTTACTAATGAATGTAAACTGCAAACACATACTAATGATGATTTCTTATAAATGTTTACTGTAAAATTTACATAATTAAACAAAACGTAACAGAAGTTGAGAGAAAGTCAATACCAGTATACAACACGAAGAACTAAGGAGGCGCCAAATGCGAGGGGAGACACCATGAACCAAACAGAACAAGGAGCCAAAACACGGTTGGTTCGATGGGTAAGCATTCCATTCGCCACACGTGTCACCTGTCTTGATATCTGCCGTAACTAATGTGTCCAAACGTCAATGTTGTCGATGTAATTCAAGTTACATTGAAATGTCAAAACGTCTAAGTTATATTATTATTTTCCATGATTTGCTTAGTGGAAATGAGCGGTACTCTTTTATTTTTGCTCCAAATTAACAAGTCTGTGCACCTGTAGTCAAGTTTATTACCTGACTTTGTGTTAACTTATATACCATAAACTTGAGGTTTTTGAAGTAAAACCAATTTTCATGATGTAATACTTACCATAACTTTAGTATGCATATACAATACCTACACCCATCTTTGTAGCCCAAAAACAAAAGATTCAAATATCCCTACCTCCCTACCGTGACGTAACCTCTATCTCGATGACAGAGCCACGGAGTGATCTCCCTTCCTCAAACCCCCTTTTATGGAGCCTAAAGGCAGCCAGGATGAGGAGGCAAGGGGAGGAATACAGGGTGGGACTCCATAAAGTTATGGTAAGTATTACATCATGAAAATTGGTTTTACTTCAAAAACCTCAATTTCATTTCAGTAATAATTACCATAACTTTAGTATGCGAATTCGTCTTACCGTAGTGGAGGCTTCGAATCCAGGCAGACCAGGCTGACGGAACAAACTCGAGACATGCTCAAGGTAGGGAAAAGGTTCAAGGAACCCCCCTAATAAAGCCCCGAAAGTAATTAAAAAATGGAAAACCTCCCCGTGAAACGAGCAGGTGTACCACCGTGGTGCCTGATAGCATACTATTTAAAATCACTGAATTACTGTGGAGGAACAGCCACAGACTGTGCAACCACCACCGGTCCAAGGGAATACAATCCATCAGAATGAGAGGCCAAGGACCGGAGATAAAAATCCGTGAAGGTAGTCTGTCCGCGCCAGAAAGCTGCGGACATGACCTCCTGAAAGGGGGACCCATTGAGGAGGGCCCATGACGCAGCAAGGGCCCTGATCTCATGAGCTCTCACCTTATACAACGCCCGAACCTGATCATCCGAGTGGTCGTAACCGTACTTGATGACCTGACAGATCCATCTAGACACTGACTGAGAAGAGATATCCTGTTGACCCTGCTTAATGGGCAAAAACAGACGAGATCGAGGACCTCGCCCCCCCCTGGTTTTATCGAGGTAAAACCTAAGCGCCCGACAGGGACAGAGCAACCTATCCCGTTCCTCAGCTCCAACGAAGGCAGTCAAAGACGGAATCTTAATCGGATCGGGCGAGAAGCCAGGAACCTGATTCTTAGCCATAAAGGCAGGATCAGTGAGAAGGGTAACGGCAGAGTAATTCCTGGACCATCGGAGGCAAGAGGGGTGAGAAGACAAGGCATGAATCTCACTCCTCCTTCGACCTGAGGCCAGGGCAACAAGGAATACCACCTTGTAAGTAACAAACTTCAAGGAGGCAGACGCTAAAGGCTCATAAGGTGCCCGCATCAGCGATTCGAGCACCAGTGGCAAATTCCACTGCGGAGCCAACTGCCGGACCCTAGGCCTGTCCAACCCAAACCCCCTAATCAAGGCAGAAAGAGAGGAGGACGAGCCTACCTCCGACCTACCATGAACAGAGAGAACACTAGCAATGGCCGTGCGATAACCAGCGATAGTGCCAGGGGCAAGATTGCGGTCCCTAAACAGCCAAAGAAGGAAGTCCGCAATCACCTGGACAGTAGCCTTGATCGGATCAACCTTCCTGCCGACACACCAATCACAGTAAATCTTCCATCGTGACTGGTAGACGGCAGATGAGGAAGCCCTAATTGATCGAGCGATGCGATCTGACACGTCCCTAGAAAAGCCCGCCTGAGCGAGGCCTCCTGAGATAGCTTCCACGCGTGAAGGTGGAGGATCTCCGGACGAGAGTGCATCGTCCTGGAACGAGGCTGGCGAAGGAGGTTCGCTCTGAGAGGAAGAGCCAGGGGCTCTTCCACCAGAAGCGACAAAAGCTCCGGAAACCAAGGCTGCCTCGGCCACAGGGGCGCTATCAGGAGGAGGGAACACTGATGCTCCCGAAACTTCTGCAGCACCCTGCCCACCATGTTGAAGGGTGGGAATGCATATGCATGCATTCCCTCCCAATCCAGAGACAGAGCGTCCACGGCCCAAGCCCTTGGATCTGGTACCGGAGAGACAAACGTTGGCAACTGATTGTTCAGTGAAGTGGCGAACAGGTCTATGTGAGGCCTGTCCCACACCTGACAAATTCCCACGAAAATCGAGGGATTCAGTTGCCACTCTGTCAAAACCGGCTGGCGGCGCCTGGAAAGAGTATCCGCCAGAACATTCAACCTGCCTGGCAGATGCTTGACACAAATTGTCAACTGCATTTCCTGACATAGAAGCAGAATGCGGATAGCGAGGGCACACAGGGTGTGAGACCTGGTTCCCCCCTGTCTCTCCAGATACGCGACAACCGTAGTGTTGTCCGTAGCCACACAAACCACCTTGGAATGCAGGATCTCCCGAAAAGACTGCAGAGCCAACAGAACAGCCCTCATCTCGAGCACATTGCTGTGCTCCGAGAGCTGTTCCCCAGACCACTCCCCCGACTGGCAACGCCCGTCGAGATAAGCTCCCCACCCTGTCATGGATGCATCCGTGTACAGGGTCATAGTGGGAACTGGCTTGGACAAAGGAACCCCTCGGAGAACATTGTCCTGATGAGTCCACCAGCGTGCGTACTCCTTGACCGACTGGTTCAGAGGAAGCAAGGCTTCCCAATCCCTTGAAGAAGGGACCCAGTTGGCAAGGAGAAACATCTGGAGAGGCCTGATGTGAAGTCTCCCTAAGGGGACCACATCGGCCAGGGCGTTGAGATATCCCAGAAAACTGAGAAACCAACGTACCTGGACTTGAGACCGGCCGATAAAGGTCAGAGCAAAAGCCCTGGCCTTCTCGAACTTCTCCATCGGTGGAAGGGCGATGCCCTGAACCGTATTGAAACGGTTCCCCAGAAAAACAAAATCCTGAGATGGGGAAACCTCCGACTTTTCTCTGGAAGGAATGAAGCCGACCTTGAGTAAGAGTTTCAGAACCAACCGGGTGACCTGTACCAGAGACTCTCTCACTAGGTGGAGCATGAGGGAGTCGTCGAAATAGATGTGAACATCTATTCCTCGAGAGTGCAGGAATCCCACGACCACCTGCAGCAGCTTGGTGAAAACCAAAGGTGCAGTCGTGAGCCCGAACGGCATGGCCCGGAACTGGAAGACCTTTCCGTTGCAAGTAAAACGGAGGTACTTCCGTGCCGACTTCTTGATGGGGATGTGGAAGTAGGCGTCCTTTAGATCTACTGAAGTCGCCCACATTCCCTCTCTCACGGAGGCGATAATACCCCGAGGAGTCTCCATCTTGAAGTGAGGAGAATCTACGTGCTTGTTGAAGGCACTTAGATCTATGATGGGACGCCACGCCCCGGACTTCTTCCGAACCAGAAACATTCTGGAGTAGAACCCGGGAGTGCATCCCGACATAGGAACCTCCTCGACCGCGCCCTTGGAAAGCATGGTCCTTACTTCCTCCTGGAGCGCCAGAGCCTTTTCCGGATCCCCCGGTGGAGGAAAAAAGATTGGCTCTGACGCTAAGGGCGGATCCCGCACTAGCGGAATGCCTAACCCCTCCTTGATCACAGACAAGGTCCATGCGTCTTCCGTAATTTCCTTCCACTCTGGAAGGAAAGCAGAAAGACGACCCCCCACAGGAAGATCTGGTCGAGGCAGATCGAGACCTTGCCAGGCAAGAGAATCGTCTGCTGACCCGAAGCCTAATCCTGCGGGAGAAGGACCTAAGCTTGAGCCGAGAGGACTGCATTCCTCCCGGCCAAACTCGTCGTCTGACACGACCAAGGAGGGAAGAAAAGAGTCAGGAACCCTTCTTCTTACCCCCAGGAGGGTTCTTACCCTTCTTACCCTTCCATTTGTTGCCCTTGAAGGGAGGCTTATACTTGGGCTGCGCAGAGGACTGCGAAGCCGAAGGTTTAGCCTTCTTCTTAGGAGGCGCTGACCCCTGCGAGGTACTGGCCTTCTCAGCCTGAATCCTCTTCACCAGAAGTGCAGAGGCGACCGAGTCCTCCTTCAAATCCTTCTGAACAGAAGGAAGGGCCCCTCCAAAAAGAGTGGACCCTGAGAAGGGGGCAGTCAACAGTCTGGAACGGTAAGGCTCATCGACCGGGCGATTTTTCAAAACTGAAAACCGCCTAGCCAACAAGACATTGACGAGGGATGACACCTGTAAAGCTGCCAGCGCTCTCAATGCCCCGTTCAGGGCAGAGGTCACTCTGTCCTGGATGTCGGCCTGCTCTGTCTCGGTAATCCGACCCTCAGGCAAGTCGGATACCCTATATAGACAAACCGTCAAGTAGTCTATATACGACAGAATCTGGATGGAGAGACGCAGCAGTCTCTCCATCTTGTGGTGTTCTTTGGGACCGAACACCACCTGGTCCACCGATTTACCGGGCCAAGCTGCAAGTTCCCTCGATTCCAGCTTAGCTGGTTGAGGGGCAAGCAGACCATCATGTGTGGCATAGTCAGTGGCGTGCACCTCTGACAAATCGCCAACACTGAGCTGCAACCCAGCATACCCAGGACTACGGGTTGAAGAAGAATTCTTCCCTAAAACCCGAGACTGGGCGGTGGCCAGAGCTGAAGACACAATGGTGCCTTCTGGCAGAGAGCGGTCCGACCGAGCGGACACCCGAGGAGCCACCAAAGAACCCAAAAGGGTGGTGGACTCGGGGACAGATGATGCCGAAGGTGGTGGGCAAACCTCCTCCCCAAGAATCCGGGAAACGTCAGCCCTAAGGCCCCGCATACCGGATAACACATGCTGGGCCTCAACCTCAGCAGCCTCAGGGTCTCCCTCATCCTGGAAGTCCTCCTCTGAGGGCAAGCCCTCCTGAGGACTGTCGTCAGACGACTCGGAAAGACCAGCGTCTATATCCGAACAACCAGGTGAAAGATGAACAACATCATTGTCCTCTGCCATACCCGCGCCCTCAACGTCCATAGCCTCCACACCATCCAGACCAGAAGCCTGGGGCGGAGGAAATGGGCCAGCCAGAGGGGCCAACCCGAGAGAAGGCTCCCCGTACCGGCGTTTAGGTGCAGTGCGCCTAACGGCCGTGGCTGTAGGTTTAGGCTTAGTAGCCAAAACCCTACCCTTGGACCCAGAGACCAACGAGCCTGCCCGAGAGGCAGAAGTCCTAAAGGTCCGACACACCTTCTTAGGACCGGCCGATAAGGCCCCCGAAGTAGCAGAAAGTTGGGGGGGGTCAACAGAACTGCTAACACGTCTCCGCGAGGGAGAGACCAAACCCCAAGGATTCCATGACGGAAATGCCATGGGGTTAAACCCATATCCCGGAGGATAGGGGAAAGGTCCCGCGGGCTGGGAGTGACCCCAGAACTGGCCAAACTGGCCTGCCTGAGACTGGGGCTGGCCAACTTGCCCAAAGGGCGAAGGTGGACCGCCACTCCCTCCAGGTGGAAACCCGGACATGTACGGGCTAAGCCCGTAACTGCCGGGATGCTGTCGCAACCCAAAACCATCCGCAGGCTGGTAAGGGCGGCCCAAGGATGGTTGCCCGCAGGCACCCGTATACCCTAAGCCAGGGGAAAACGGAGGCCGGAAACCGGCCCCCTGTCCAGCAAACCCAACCCCTGGGGGGAAACCCCCCAGGTTCCCAGAAGAATGAAACTCGGGACCGGACCTAATAGGACCGGGTCCGGGTAACTGACCGGGAGGGTATGCCTGACCAGCATTGATGCCGGGATTAGTGAGCTGCGCGTCACTAATCCCGGTAGACACAGACAATCCCGAAAGAAAGTCTGTTGTCACACCAGGACCTGAACCCGAAAGAACAGGCCCGGCACCAAGACTGTCCCCAACGACCGCACCACCTGGAATGCCGGGATCACTGACAGAGTCAGTGACCGGCGGCCGGTAGTCCCTACCCGAAGGCAAGCGCGAAAGCTTACGGGCGTTCCCGGCCAATTCGACCCTTGGCTGTGCCAAGCCAGGGTCAGGCTGCCCCTCCCCTACTCCAGGGAGTTCCTGGACAGGAAGGGCCACCCCCTGCTCACGAGAGGGACTTGCCGAAGCAAGACCCCCCGAGACAGGAACAGAGACAGTACCACCAGACCCCAGAGAGCTGGTGGCACGACCCCTACCTCTCTGCTTCCCTCGCTTACCGGAAGAAACAGACGAATCTGTCTTACGGTAAGTTGAGGGTAGCTTTGGAACAATGAAGTCCTTGCCCTGAGATTTTGACTGTGAACAAAGTTCACAAGGCGAAACCTCACTGCAAGGACGACACCTGGGACAGGCATCATGAGGGTCCCGTTCCACAAAGAAATGGGAACACCCATGAGCACTACCTCGTCGCTGTCCCGACCGAGACATACCCTCCAAAGCGAACGTAAACAAAAAATTTACAAGCAGATAAAACGGGAAAATAAGGATAAAATACGATAGTACAAAGTACGCAACGTAGAAAGAATTTCACCCGTAATATAAATCAGAAAACGGTTAAAATAAATAACGTTTGCCGAAACAAACAACCGTCACCGAAATAAACAGAGGTCGGAAATTAACCCACGATAATGGCGGACCGTGGCACACCACCGGCACACGTGGAGTAAAATAACCGGCCGTAAAAGGCACAAAAATAATTTTCAACAACAATTAGTTATATCAATAAGGGCAGATGGGTAAAAGGCACACAAACTGCGCAAAAATATGAGTTGACACTCAAACCAAACCGACAAAACAAAGTTTTGAATTGGAGCAAGCTCCGTGCGTCAGCATGCAGCAGGCGCCATAAAAGGAAGAGGAAGGGAGATCACTCCGTGGCTCTGTCATCGAGATAGAGGTTACGTCACGGTAGGGAGGTAGGGATATTTGAATCTTTTGTTTTTGGGCTACAAAGATGGGTGTAGGTATTGTATATGCATACTAAAGTTATGGTAATTATTACTGAAATGAAATATGTGTTTCAAGGCATACCTGAAATCCAAAATTATTCAACATTTTTGCTAGAACTGTGTGTTCACAAGCATATTTTGACAGTACATGTGGATAGTATATTTGAAGTTTGTATTCACACGTATTTTGAACTGTGTGCGCACATTTCTACCTCACCTTTGCGTTCACCTAAACATCTTTATTATACGTTCACAAATGTAATGGTATGACCTGTGTGTGTTCCACTATTCCTAAGTATACAGAAACGTAGTGTTCATCTATCATTCACGACCTTTGTGTTCACATGTATATCTGAAAAGTGTGTTCATTTCTATATAAATATATATATTACGAATTGTGTTCAGGTTCATGTGTGCTATGTACATAGACATATACAATCCGCTCAACCATGCATGTTGTTGATAATATACTGTAGCTTGAGAGGGAGTTACAAAGCTAAATAAACTTACCAGAAGCACGATTGGGTTTACAAAGCACCAGCAAATCCGTACAAATACAGGAACTCCACGACCAATCATCATTTCAATGTCCCGCGAAAACCGTTCTGCTCCTGTCAAAACGTGTTAAGTACCGTCAATGAGGTTCTTCAGTTTGCAAATATATATGCATCGAAGTTTTAGGTATCAACGTTTAACGAAAGACTTGTCCCTTTCTAAGGCTGTCGCTTTGGAAGGGGCATACATGGAAAAACTAAGCCCTTTTCCTCATCCCTCTGATATTGTATGATATACTTATGTTATTCAACTGTTTTAACTACACTATGACAAAATGACAATATGATCATTGTTATAATGTCATCACTCAGTCCGAGCTTGAGAGAGAAACGTAAATACTTACATTGTATACTATGTAAAGCTTTGAAGCATGTCTATCATACTATTTTCTGGTAAATTACTTCATACATATCATACTATTATCTGGTAAATTACTTCATATACATTATACAATCACATCAGCAGGCTAGAACAACGTTTAACTTCAATGTAGAACATTGTTTAAGTGGCTGATATTTATTTGTTTTCATTTGTATATATATACAATTATTCTAATTAGGATAATTCATATGACACATTTATAAACTTTTCGCATTTAAACTAGATTTAACAATCAATAATTTTGGTAGCAAATACGACAACAGAAATCAACAAAGTTAATAGTCAATGTAAAACTATGTATCGATTATAAAAATATCACTTCAGAATATTATATACGAACATTATGGTTTTTTTTTCAAAATTAAGGCCCGGAAATATCCTTAACCATTACATTAATGAGAAGTTACCATATATCCATCCGAATATAAGACACTCGATCAGACCAAACACCGGTATGGACACCGCAACGTACCAGTCAAATAGCTGGTAGAAGTATATCCCGGCCTACAGAACAAAGACATTCTAAATATATAACATACCAACACATATTTAGCTTTACCACATAACTTACCCATTTAACTATTAATGTCATACGGCCATGTCACAAATATAGTCATTCACACGTGTAATAGAAGCTTAGGGAAATGTGATTTGTCCTTGTACATTTGAATGTTTTCCTTTGAAATTAACTTGAAATGTATATTTTATCACTTATATTTTCATCACATTTAAAACTGTTCATTATCAAATTTATTAAAAAAACAAATAAACTGGAACTAATTTGCACTGCGCGGAACGACAATACTATGATCGGAGTACTTTGGTTCAGATCTTTATACAGTCTACTGATACCACATAGTTTTTTTCCTATTTTGTTTTTAAATATCGATCTTATGTGATAAATAACATCCTAACTGAGTGTCCATGTACTATTGAATTTATTAAACTCGTTCAATAAATTGAATATGACATAGATACTCTACTCATGTAAGATCTTCTGAATACCACGTATCAGCCAAACTGTATTTATATATATATTCCGGCCTTCAACACAAAGAAATACAAAATAAAATATACCAACTCATATTTATCTATACAACGTAGAAGTCAAACATTTGGCAGAAGTATATACTGGCCTGCTACACTGAGATATATATAATACCATTTACCAATTTATATTCTAATCTACATGTTGGTTGTTTGTATAGGGTTTAACGTCGTATCAAAAGCTAGGGTAATGTAAGGACAGGTTTCTTTACATGCACGTGTATATATTAATCAACGTACCTCACGGTTAGTCCAATATACATTTACAATAAACGAGGTATATAACAATTTGATAAAAATCTTGGTACAGAAGACTTTTCCCAACAGGAAGTAGATAGAAACCTTGGTACTAAATACTTACCCCAGCAGGAAGTAGATACAAACCTTTGGTACAGAAGACTATCCCGAGCAGAAAGTAGATACGAACCTGGGAACAGAAAACCATCCTGAGCAGAAAGTAGATACAAAACTTTGGAACAAAAGACTTACTCCGGCAATAAGTAGATACATACCTTTGGTACAGAAGACTTACCCGGGCATTAAGTAGATGCAGACCTTTGGTACAGAAGACTTACCCCGACAATAAGTAAATACAGACCGTTGGTACATCAGACTTACCCCGGCAGGAAGTAGACACAAACCTGGGTACAGAAGACTTACCCAAGCAGGAAGTAGAAACAACACGTTGGTACAGAAAAACCTACCCCGGCAGGAGGTACATGTAGATACAAACCTTGGTTCAGAGGACTTACCCCAGCAGGAAGAATATACAAATCTGGGTACAGAAGACTTACCCCAGCAGGAGGAGGAATATACAAATCTGGGTACAGAATATTAATCCCCAGCAGGAAGTAGATACAAATCATGGTACAGAAGACTTACCCCAGCAGGAAGAATAAACAAATCTGGGTACAAAATATTAATCCCCCACCAGGAAGTAGATACAAATCATGGTACAGAAGACTTACCCCAGCAGGAAGAATATACAAATCTGGGTAAAGAATATTAATCCCCAGCAGGAAGTAGATACAAATCTTGGTACAGAAGACTTACCCCAGCAGGAAGAATATACAAATCTGGGTAAAGAATATTAATCCCCAGCAGGAGGTAGATGCAAATCTTGGTACAGAAGACTTGCCCAAGCTGGAAGTAGATAAAAACCTGGTTAAAGAAAACTTACTCCGGCAAGAGGTACGTGTAGATACAAACCTTGGTTCAGAAGACTTAACCCAGCAGGAAGTAGATACAAAACTGGATACAGAAGACTTACCCCAGCAGGAAGAATATCCCCAGCAGGAAGTAGATACAAAAACTGGTATAGAAGACTTACCCCAGCAGGAAATAGATACAACCATGNAACACATATTTAGCTTTACCACATAACTTACCCATTTAACTATTAATGTCATACGGCCATGTCACAAATATAGTCATTCACACGTGTAATAGAAGCTTAGGGAAATGTGATTTGTCCTTGTACATTTGAATGTTTTCCTTTGAAATTAACTTGAAATGTATATTTTATCACTTATATTTTCATCACATTTAAAACTGTTCATTATCAAATTTATTAAAAAAACAAATAAACTGGAACTAATTTGCACTGCGCGGAACGACAATACTATGATCGGAGTACTTTGGTTCAGATCTTTATACAGTCTACTGATACCACATAGTTTTTTTCCTATTTTGTTTTTAAATA